TCGTCCTCGTTTTTACAATATTTTACCATAACTTCGAGGGTTAAATTACGATAACATTGTACTTCAGGATGTCCTCAATTGTATTCGTCCTCATTTTTACAATATTTTACCATAACTTCGAGGGTTAATAAATTACGATAACATTGTTCTTCAGGATGTCCTCGATTGTATTCGTCCTCGTTTTTACAATATTTTACCATAACTTCGAGGGTTAAATTACGATAACATTGTACTTCAGGATGTCCTCGATTGTATTCGTCCTCGTTTTTACAATATTTTACCATAACTTCGAGGGTTAAATTACGATAACATTGTACTTCAGGATGTCCTCGGTTGTATTCGTCCTCGTTTTTACAATATTTTACCATAACTTCGAGGGTCAAGAGTACACTAAAGCATATTTTATTACTAAATCTTAAATCCACAATTTATTACCTTAAGCAGCAAACTGAAATATGACGACTCGTACAGTACGACCTGTAGTTCAGAACCAAAGTCTTTGGTATAGTCTATTAGATAATCATGAAACACATTAATGGGCATTTTATGGTTTTAAGAACATTTTCAATGGCATTTGGAAAGTGATCAGTTTCTACTCCGAAGCTAGAAATGAGATTTCAGTTGTCTGTATATTATGCTGTCCACTAATTAAGGCGCGTTGTACGTTACGTGTGAGAGAAAAACAAAACGTGACAGAAGCAAAAGTTCTATATTTCGTTACCAGTAGAATAATCAATAAGATTATTTATGGATATATAAAAAATAAGAAATATCTTTTTGTTAATAAAATTTCTTCATCGACTTGTTCAGCAAGACCTTACTGTTATTCATTCCTTGTGACCTAGGACATAGTGGTCATAGAAACTTTGCCAGTTACTCATAGTTAGCAGTATTTATTACTACTTCTAATTATTATTGTATAATTTTAACACCTCGTCCGGTAGTCGTAGTTACATAATTATTGTAGGGCTCTGTTCTTCTAGTGTGATCAACATTCCTAGCGAGAAAGAAAACGACTCTCAACAAAAAATGTTTGAAGTATTGGTCGAGTGTAGCTTATTTTTATCATGTTAGTAAGTGTTAAACCGGTCAAATAATTTTTAGTTTTGAATTTAAATAAAAGTCGGGAAAGGGAACAGTGTAAAGAATTAACACAGCTTGAAGGTTAGGGCGATTGACTCGGAATCTGCGGGTTGCGGGCTCGAATCCCGTCACCCATCATGCTCGCCCTTTCAGCCGTGAGAACGTTATAATGTGACAGTCAAGAGTTGGCGGTGAGTGAGATTGTGTGGCTGCATTCCCTCTAGTCTTTCACTGCTAAATTAGGGACGTCTAACGCAAATAGCCTTCAAGTAGCTTTTCGCGAAATTCAACAAACAACAAAAAGCTTGAAGGTTAGGGCGATTGACTCGCAATCTGCGGGTTGCTGGCTCGAATCCCGTCACCCATCATGCTCGCCCTTTCAGCCGTGAGAACGTTATAATGTGACAGTCAAGAGTTGGCGGTGAGTGAGATTTTGTGGCTGCATTCCCTCTAGTCTTTCACTGCTAAATTAGGGATGTCTAACGCAAATAGCCTTCAAATAGCTTTTCGCGAAATTCAACAAACAAACAAAACAAAAACGTTCCACTCCATATAACGAACACGTGGCGCGCGCGCCTCCAGTGAGCATGGGCATGAAACGATATAAAGCTTGAGCACACAGCCTTCATTTTCTCTTTCCATGTCTCTGATGTAAGATCCAAGCTTTTTTTCAGACAACTTTAAATCAGCTGTCTTTATACATTAAATTTATGTCTTCTAGGGTTGTTTCAAATGAATGGTACTCGTAAAGTTTATTTATCATTTCAAAGCTTTATACTTTTTTCTGTAACAAATAATAACTTTGTTACCAAAATCAACTTTGACGAAAAACGATGTCGCTTTGTTTTGATGCTCAAAATTTTGTAAGGACTTATATAGGAGACACAAAAGTACTAAATGTGTCCGTAAAATCTCTCGACCAATCTTCAGACTTTCTCCAGCACCTGAACTCTTCTTCTGTTTATCACAGAGTTTTCAGTCACTGGTGTAGCTATTCAGCCATCTCCACTAGTGCTCATTACTTCGTTGGAACCTTGTTGATTCTTGTAGGTATTGCAGGAATAGGAGGAAATGGACTGGTTGTTCTGGTCTTCACCAGGTAATTAATTCTTTCTCCTGGATGTTTTTAAGTTACCTTAATACGTGTCGTTTGTTTCCTTATGTTACTACTTTTTCAACGTTTTTAAGTTAAGTATGTGAAAGGTTATTTTGAAAAACAACAGATTAGAATGTAAGGATTCACTTGACTAGACAAGATGGAATAAACAATTCCTCTGTTTGTTTCAAATGGGAAAGCCTGGTGTACTAAAACCTGCCAGGAAAAGCTCTATAAACCATTACATACGGCTGAAAGTTTTGTAGAGAATGGGACGTTTTCTTTCATCCAAATAGGTAATATTAAGTGAGGGGTAACATAATTTGATACTTGTGAATCTGAACACCTGTTTTACTACTATTTTCTGCTTTACTGTTGTATGCCTACTAGTGTTTCATCGGTGTTTGATAAATACTAATGAGACTGGGTCCAGCGCATTTTAAGGTACTATTACAGCAGTATATACTTTCTGGTTGTTTGTTTTTTGCAGTGTTGATGGTTTGGTTTCATGGTCATGAATTGATCACCCACTTAGAATTCAAGTTGATGTTGTGTTTTTAATGCTTCTATATTTATATGGATATATATATATATATATATGTACGTTAATATATGTAGGAGTTTCATACTGTTGAATACACGTAAAATATAATACCAGAACAGTTTTTTTTAGGTGTTGCTGCCCTCTGCATTAATGAAAATATACTAATCTCATACAGAGATAAAATTGTGATAAAGAATTTCTTCTTGTAAACAGCCTATGTAATTATTAATAATTTCTGATCAAAGTCAGTCTCTACCTAGGAGTATTAAATGTCATAAAATACAATGCATTGCATTGGTACTTAAATTAAAAAGGTGTTTTTAATAGGAACAAGGAACAAAGGTAAGTATTTAAAGAACTAACACAAGTATAATTCAAAAAATATCTATAACAGTGGCGATATGAATATTAATATATCGTCTTGCTTTCAACTTTGCTAATTTCACAGGGCCCGGCATGGCCAGGTGGAGTATGAACTTTCGTTTAAACATTTTAGACATACAGGTGAAATTAGTTTGTTTGTTATGGATTTCGCACAAAGCTACACGAGGGTTATCTGCGCTAGCCGTCCCTAATTTAGCAGTGTAAGACTAGAGGGAAGGCGCCCCCCCCAGTGGCACAGTGGTATGTCTGCGTACGTACAACGCTAGAATCCGGGTTTCGATACCCGTGGTGGGTAGAGCACAGATAGCCCATTGTGTAGCTTTGTGCTTAATTACAAACAAGCCAACTAGAGGGAAGGCAGTTAGTCATCACCACCACTCTTTTACCAACGAATAGTGGGATTGAACGTCACATTATAACGCCCCCACGGCTGAAAGGGCGAGCATGTTTGTTGTGACGGGGATTCGAACCCGCGACCCGCAGATTGCGAGTCGAGCGCCCTAGGCTACTTCCACATTATTTGAAATCGCGATGCAAAAACTGAACTCTCAATTTTTTTATATTTTTTGTTTCTTATATTTTACTCATTAGTGAACTTTCTTTTTAAATAATATTTCGTACAAGTTATTGCTTAGATAATGAGAGCCTGGTATTTTAAGATAGTATTTTATATATTTTTTTGTTCGTGATACACCAAATGCGAGCCCCCCAGTGGCACAGCGGTATGTCTGCGGACTTACAACGCTAGAAACCGGGTTTCGATACCCGTGGTGGGCAGAGCACAGATAGCCCTTGTGTAGCTTTGTGCATAATTAAAAAACAAACAAACAAACAAACCAAATGCGATTAAGTTAAGCCTTAACAAAGGGGACGTTGTTTCAACGTCAACAAAACATCATTATAGATTCTTGCTGTCAGTTATAAAACAAGTTTTGAACTTAATTTAAAATATAATTTTCTGAAATGTTGCTGACTACCAGATCTAGAAAAGTTCCAGGGCATCCTGTATCTATTAAAATATATTGATATAAGGTTTGGCGTAGAAAACTCAATTTTAAAGCACTGGCTGCCAATACAAAAAAAAAGCGGAATAAATACCAAATTGGAAAACATTACGGACGTCTCAACATATCTTGTACGTCTAAAAATGGTTTAATAATACTGTATGAAAACAGTTTTGATTTGATTATAGTAATCGTTGTGAATGTTGAATATACAGCACCAGAGTTCAAAGTAGACCAAGCAGTGGGCTAAGTACAATGGTATTAATATTTTTTCATTTTAAATTTATGGCCCAATTGTTTCTCTGTATTTTGTTGGCGTAATGCCAAACCTTTTTTTGCACGTGTAACGTATTAGGATAATCCACTACTTGGTTAAGTTTTTCTTCAGCTGGGAAGAAAAAATTATAATATACTTACATAGTGTTATAATTAAACTAATTAGCTGTGTTCTCTTATAAGAACATCATTCAAAACTTTTCTGGATAGTCACCTGATTTTTCAAACAAAATTACTGCCACTTTGTGTCATTGAAATAATTATCTAGTTACACCCATTTAACATTGTCTACTTCACTTGAATAGTCATGCGATATTTCAATATATATATATATTCTTTAGTGTTTTAACTCGACTTTAACCGCACTTTTCTTGTATGGTTTCCACATCTCAGTTAAAGAAAAATGTAAACTGGCGACAACTGGTTTTTCTTAGGGTCACGTTGTATCTACTCAGCCCTACCTTTGTCAGCTTTTCATATATTACTAATTTCAGTTATTGTTTAAAATTTTCTACAAAATTTTCATTCTTGAGAAGACTGTCACGTAAAAAAATTATTATGCACAAAATATGTATCAACAGTGTTTTATTAAAACAATTATTTATCTATTTTTACTTTTTATAGAATAAAATATGAAGTAACAACATATACATAGTACATCTCTTTCTATGTACGTTTTATGTCTTTAATTATTGAAAGCTTCCACGTCCCTCTAGTGAAATGAAACGACAAAAATATGCATTTGCCAATACACTTTGTTAAGAAAACAAATAAGTTTGAACAGCTGTTAGCACACATAATTTTAGCCTAAAATGAAGTACCTTCTTCGGATTTTCTAAAATGCTGTTGTTGTTTTTTAGCCGCGGTACAGTGGCTCGTAGAATGGCGCTGATGTGTTTTTGTTTTTGTTTTTTTTTCAAGTACAAACTTTTATCTCACAGCTCCGTCCTCTCTTGAGCGATTTGAGGTCTAATTACAGTTTTGGACTCAGGAGATCAAACCGTTTCGATTGATGTATTATATTAACCACACCCAAGGTTTTATAGATTAATGTACTCTACCCCTGCTTAGAAAAATTTCAGTTGTGGGTAGGCTGGTAGAGTTCCTGATGAGTAATAAAATTGAATCGGGTATACGCGCGCCCCACGCTTGGTATTTGCTGGCGCACAAAAATGTAGTTAATAAAAAGGGGGAAAAAAAGGTCGCATAAATTAATTTACTCTAATCCTGCCTAAAAAATTTCAAGTGCCGCGGCTACTGAAGATTTTCTCTTGTTCGGCCGCGATAAAGTGGCTCATAGAATGACTCCAAGTTTGTTTGTTTTTTCAAGTACAAACGTTTAGCTCATAACCCCATCTCCTGGCCGATTTGAGATCTATTGAGGATCCTCTCTTGTTCAAGTTTGCTTACAATTTTCATTACGGATACTATTAAAAAGTTTCTTTAACAATAGTTTTCTTATGCATTGACATTAATACTTTAGCAGTTTTCACAGAATAAATTTTCAGAGTTTAATATGATTGATACTTGAAACCATCGGTACTTGGTGAAACTCCATATTTACAGAATTGAGAAAAAACAGCAACCTGAGGATGCCTTTACTGGCGAAACCATGGTTGCTAATAAATGAAGTTTTTGTGAAACGTACAATTGCCTTTGATTTTTCCTCAATCCAGGGCTTGGGACTACTTTGTCACAGAATAAATGTTCACAGTATTAGACTATTTTGTCACAGAATGATTATTCAGAGTATAAGACTATTTTGTCACAGAATAAATGTTCAGTGTTTAAGACCATTTTGGCGCAGAATAAATGTTCAGGGTTTAAGACTGTTTTGTCACAGAATAAATGTTCAGTGTTTAAGACTGTTTTGTAACAGAATAAATGTTCAGACTATAAGACTATTTTGCTTTAATTTTGGTTAAATGCACAATTACTGATGGGTAGATTAGAAATAGAATAATAGACTAAACAACATCAATTTGTATAGAAGTAGTTCAGCGGTAAATAGATGGAATTTATACAGGGTGAGATAGATGTCAAGAGTGGGTTGTGTTTGAAATGAAATTGTTGGTTTGATTGTGACTTTGAGAAGACTCAGATATTGCTTACTTTAGGGTAAGTTGGACAGACTTTTGGTGAAGATTGCACTATTAGTGGAAGAAATAGTAGGTTGTAATCTGAAATTAAAGGAGGAAAGATCGGAACTAGATAGAGTTATGATAAAGGTTGCTATGGGAAGTAAAACAAGTTGGTGCTCCTGAGACAGGTTTAATTAACGTTCAGGTACCGGTCTCGAATAGATTTTTAACAGAAATGAATTACTTGGCAGGATCCAAGGTTTAAATGAAAGATTATCAAGGAAATACTTAGAGCAACAGGTTGGACTTGTGGGATAGTTTAAAGAGTAAATTATACACTAGAGATGGGTTCCATGTTATGTAGTAGGTTATTTGGGAAGTTCTAAATATATTAACGTAAGATAGTTTAAATCAAATTTGCATAGTAGTGAAAGAACTTGGAACGGAATAAACAAATTTATAGGATAGATAGAAGGACAAATAGAAGTTTGGAAAAAAATCTAAATTCAAAGCATAATAAGTTACGTAATAGTTTTGAAATACGTTTTCCAGATTTAAAGAGAAACATAGCAGCATCAACAATAACTTGATTGTTATTATTCTAATGTTAGGAGTACTAGGAAGAAAACAGAAGAACTCGGGGCTTTACTTGAAATGGAAGATTATGATATAATGGTATATACTGAAAGTTGATCAAATTTGAAATATTTTTAA